CTCTTGGCCCTGTAGCCCGTGGCTTTCTCTTGGCCCTGTAGCCCGTGGCTTTCTCTTGGCCCTGTAGCCCGTGGCTTTCTCTTGGCCCTGTAGCCTGTGGCTTTCTCTTGGCCCTATAGCCCGTGGCTTTCTCTGCAGCCTGAGAGCCTGCGCTCTGGTCCTGGTGTCCAGGAGGCAGCTGTGCTAAGCGAGGGGGCAGTGGCGAGGCCTTCCATGCCAGCGGTCACCTGCGTGTCGTCACTCTGGTCCTGTATGTTCTACCACGAGCCCGGCTTCTCTCAGGCTCTGCACGCACCTGTCACATGTGTCTCAGTGGCAGACATGGAAGAGAAGGGGCGAAGGCCGAGCATCGGCTCCGTGCACCGGACCTGACAGTTCAGGGCCTTTCTGAGGAGGAACCCGCAGCACTATTGGAACAGTGGGCCACCAGGGCTGGGGGTTGTCAGTGACGTAGTTAGTGATGGCAGATGCTCATCAGCCTGTGGTCCTCCAACTTTCTTCAACACTCCAGACTATTTCACACATGGTCTGAATGATCTGAACGCTTTCCTGGGAAGGGGGTAGCCTCTCCGGGGTTCCTGGCTGGAGGAGTGGCTCCTTGACCAGCAGGGCAGAGTGGAGATACAGGGTGGAGAGGTGGCCGGGGTGTGGACGCTGGGGGGGCGTGTGTGCAAGCCGGCAGGCCCGGGACCGGTCTGAGGAGATGGATCTGGACCAGACCATCACCACGCGAGGCCCGGACCACGTCCAGTGGCCAGCAGAACACAGGGAGCCCTGGGCTGCGGAGCGGCGTGCGGAAGCCGGGCAGGGCTGGAGGGAGAGCAATAGCCTACAGGGCTGCCGTGAAGTGTCATCTGAGTTGGGGTTGGCTGTGCGATGTGAAGGAAGGTGTAGAGGCAGAAAGCGCTTGGTGTAGGCAGCAGAGGCTCTGGCCTTGAGATGGGGGTCAGGGAGGAGCTGCACGGCGTGAGGCTGTGGAAGATCCATGGGGAGCCCCCCCCCCAGGGGCCCCCCACAGAGCGGGATGCAGGAGAGACGTCAGCAGCGCCGTCTGTGAGTGGGACGCTGGGAAGACTCCAGGTGTTGGAGGACGGGCCCGGACGGCAGAGCCCCCTCCCCTCCTCGGCCACAGGCCAGGGCAGGAGGAGGTGACCACGTCCAAGCTGAGTGACTGCGAGATCTCCAGAGGGGAGGAAAAGTACAGAGCCGGCAGGGGACTGCGGGGGTGGGGTGGGCGGGGAGGGTGCTGTGGCTTCCAGCTCTTTCCAGGAAGCATCCAGCCAGGACGGGCAGATAGCCAGGAGTCCCGGGCACACACCTGGGGCACAGAGTGATTTTCAAGCATTCCCCGTCCTCACGCCATGCTTCTCACTCCCGAAGGCATGCTGGGCCCCTTGCAGAGCTTAAAATAAAATCTCTTAAAAATCTGGGTTAATGGGTCTGAGGACGGATCTGGCACTGCCAGGCCCACTTAGAGAGCCGGAGGCTTTAATGCGCAGCGGGCCGGAGCTGGCCTGGTTTGCACGGAGCAGTGTGAATACAGGGGAAGATGCCCGGCTTTGGTCCTTGGCAGGCACCAGTCCCGGAGGGCACGTCCATGGAAACAGGGCCGGGCAATGTCCCAGCCCCACAGGTCCCCACGCGAGCGGGACCTGGAGGAACCCCGGGGGGCCAGCCCACCGACACCTTCCCACCACGCAGTGAGGACGCTGGGTGGCCGCAGGAAGGGGAGATGGTGGCGGGACCCCCGGGGGTCGCCAGGAGGGAGACTCAGAAGGAGAGGAAAGTGTGAGGGCAAACGTGGAGAACAGAGGTAGGCAGAAGTGGTGGAGAACCTGAGAGTTTCAAAACAGAATGGCGTAAGGGCACGGGCAGGGAGGCCCCGGGGAAGGAGGGCGGACAAAAGCCCCTTGGGGGAGAAGAACAAAGCTCTGCTGGCCTTGGGCTGGTGCCCCAGGGTCTCCTGGGAAGCTAGGCCAGCAACTGGGGGGTGGGAAGAGCAGGAGGGGTGCTCTCACTCTCTGGGCGCCGCGCTGGGGGCCGTCATGGTGCCAGCTCAGAGCCGAGGAGAGCCAAGACCACTCCTGCCCACGCTCAGGTCGGCCCACTCCCATGTGGGCCCAGACAAGTGTGTCCCTCCCTCGTGTCAGCAGACAAGATCACTCACTCCCCAGTGAGGAAGACTGGCACGGAATTAAGTGCCAGACAGCGTGACGCGAGCCACGAGCGTGCTGATGGCCCGGTGGCTGAGTCCGGCTCACTCAGGACGTCGTCGGCAGCCACCGTGCGCCTCCTTTCGGAGGTGGAGTGGTGAGCAAGGCCGAAGTCCCCGATGAGGTCTCAGCCCGGTGGACCGGCGGGCGGGCGGGCAGGGAGAGGTATGGAATGAGTAAGGAGAGCAGGCCAGAGGGCGTACGCGGCGGTGTGGCAGCAGCCTCAGTGGCCGGGGCCGAGGCAGTGACGCAGAGAGGGCACAGGAGCAGGGGGAAGGGCCACGAGGCGGCTGGAGCAGGACAGGGGGGCCTGTGGGGAGGCAGCCAGATCCCGCACCAGCACGCATGGCCTGCTCCAGGTACGTATAACGACAGACAACATCTAACCTACCCCAAATCCTGCATCCTCCCTGCATGGCCCCACCACGCAATACCTGTCCCTAGTGTCCGCCACGACCACCTGCGCCCTCCCGTGCCCCCACACCCTCTGCCCGCCTCTCTCTATCAGAGGCACTCAACTCTGCCTCCCTGGGGCTCACGGGGCCTTTGCCTGGCGCCTGACTCCTTTGTTCATCAAGTCGCGTGGAGCTGTGGCCCTATTTGTTCCTGCGCAGCAAACTGTCTTCCTGGGATTTGGGGATACGGGGTTGGGGCGGCTCAGAGACCCCCCTCACTGTGACAGGTGCTGGCTGGAGATGATCGATCTCCGAGGAGGTCATTTTATCCCCTACGGGTGTCAGAGCATCCTCCCTCCGGGAGGAGGCCACAGGCAGGGCTGAGCTGGCACCGCCCTCAGCGGAGACTCTGGGGAGCCAATAAGCAATGTGCCTCTGAGGAGTCTGGAGAGGACAGAGGCTGGGACAGGGTGAGAGGGGAGGGGCACGGCAGTGGGGGAGGAGCTAACAGTGTCAGCCATGACCACGACCACGGGGCCTCACTGACAGGAGGAAGGAAACAAGGTCCCCTGTCCCCGGGGGGAGGAGCTCCTCCAAGGCCCAGGCAGAGATCACAGCCAAAATACGTCACTGCGGTCACTAAGCAGCCACAGGACCTGTGGACAGCCGCCTGGCACGAGCTCTCTCCTGTGGGCCGGGGGCTGGGGCTGGGTCTGCTGGCAGGCTGACCTTCTCATCCTTCCCAGTCAGCCCCCTTCCTTCCACACACAGAGCGTCCCAGATGAGCCTCGAGGAGGACAGCCCTCATGTCCCCTGGGGGCCTGCTTAGGGCTGCTCCTGTGGCCCTTCCTACGCTGAATGCAGAGACCTTGGTGCATGATGCTACTGACTCCCCTTCCTCAGTTTTCCCATTCGTACCCCTCCTCCTCACAGGGCTCCTACTGAGCAGAGAATGTCAACTCGTGTAAAGGAACAAGCAAGTCCAGCCTTATTCCTGCCTCCTGCCCTCCCCCTTCCAGCCCACAACACCTCTCCTGGGTGGGGTGGAGGTGCCAGATGCACCTTGAGAAAGGCCATTGGATGAGGCCAGTGGCAGCCACATACCGTTCTGAGTTTGCAGGCATGGTAGGGTCGATGGAGACCATGGCGTCGTCTGTGGTCAGAAGGGAGATGGTGGTGTTCCTGCAACACACACTGGCGTCAGCCCTGCCCTACAGCATGGACACCTGCACGCAGCCCGCACATCTGACAGCCCCTCCCCCAAAGGGCCAGGACCTGCGCACGTGCGAGGGGCCAGGGCTGCGCTGAGAGCCAGAGGCGTCCCCTAGAAGTTGTCCCTCCATTTGCAAATGAAGTCAAATGGCTGAGCATATTCTAAGTGCCTGTCCACTTTTAAATAATTTAAAATGGGAATTGGAGTGGCCTCATTTGTTGAGTTGGGAGATTAGAAACAGACCTGTGGTACCACGGGAGCTAACATTAGATCAGAGATGATGAATCTGTAGCTGGCTGGATTCCTTCCAGGTCCCCGGGGACTCTAGCTAGCCCAGCACAAATCTCTCCTACAAAATAGTCTTAAACGGCTGAGGTGCACTGCCCTCCGGAGCCTCTCAGGTCTTCAGGGGCTTACGAGCCATCACCTTCACCAAGTAACTTACACTCGGACCTGCAGCGGTGAATGTGGAAAACCTGAACAGGGTTGCTATAAAGAATTATATATGTATTATATGTTTATATATGATTACATTTATATGTTTATATAAACACATATAACATATGGCATATTTCTTAGCATAGCTCTTTTTTCTTTTGAATTTCTTTGTGTCAGAACTTAAGGCCTTTTGCTCTCGGTCAGCAGCTAACACTCTACCACTTGAACCATGCCTCCACTTCTGGCTTTTTGCTGATTAACGGGGGTTAAGAGTCTTGTGGATTTGTCTACCCAGGCTGACTTACAGCTGAGATTCTCAGACCTCAGCCTCCTGAGTTTTACAAGTGGGAGCCAGTGGTCCCTCTGTGCCTCGCTCCCCGCCAGGTACGGCCCTCAGGCACCGCTGGGGCACCATGGTCCTCCTGGCACAGACACGTGGGCACTCACCGGGGCAGGCCTGTGGCGATGCAGAACAGGTCCATGATATCGCTGGAGTTGCAGTACTTGCTGAACACCACCTGCAAGACAGAGAAGGTGGGCGGTGAGGCAGCAGAGAGGGCAACTGGTCTCCATGGCGACGGGAGATTCCACGCGCCTCTTTTCCATGCTGACCCGAAGGCTTCCTTTGAAAAGAAAATCCATAATCGTGGCTCTGGTGTGCCTCACGCGCACCTTTCCGTTTGGTGGATTTAGAGGAGTGGTGAAAAACTTGGTCCTTTTGCTCCAGGCAAATGTCGGTGAAGAAGATCTAAGCCACCACATGCCTGCACGCCGGCAGGCGACCACGCTTGCTGCTGACCCCTGACACAGATCTGGAAGCGTGTGTGCGCTGGATGCTCAGTGCCAGGCACCACAGCCAGCCTCCACCACCCCACTGAGATGTAAAACGGCAAATTTAAGTTCATTAACTTAAAAGGACTGCCTTTTAGTATTTGAGAACTAAGGGATGAGGCTGAGAGATGCTATCGTCAAAGCTGGGGAGTGAAAACAACAGAGCATCTCTGAGCCACTAGTATCCCAGAAAAACAAACCCCACGCGCAGCCATGGCTGACCCTGAAGAGGAACCCTGCTGTATCAGCATCTTTCGCCCCGGGGGTTGCAATAGCTGTCACCCTTTACCCACATCTTTTCTTCCCTCTGGTCATCCAGAGCCATAGGTTCTACTTGGCGGTTTCTAGAAATGAACAACTGCTAAGTTTTAAACGGTGTGCCATCCAGAGGAACGTGATGAAATCTCACCTCGGCCCACGGGGCGCTCGCCACGGCAGGCCGCTGGCGATGCAGAATGGGTCCACAAGATCACCGGAGTTACAGTACTGCAAGGAGTGTCTGCTCAGGCCCTGGGCCTGTCAGGGTCGACACTGGCCCGCTCATTGTCTCTAACTCTGGAGAAGCTGCCTGGCTTCTGTGTGCCTCAATTTTACATTCTGTAAAACAGGCAGCAGTGGCCTATAGGTGTTTTAGTATGGCCGACCCTCGCCTGCAGGCTCCATGCTCATCTGGAGCTGGAGACTCGGGAATTCAAGGGAGAAACTCGGAGCCGCACAGAAAAGGAGCCATACAACCACTGACCCCCACAAGGGCAGACTGGCCGGACAGGCATCTGCGCCTCCCAGGGACCCAGGTGTGGACTGGTCAGGATTTCCAGAAAGGCTCTCTGCTGAGAAACTGAGATGTTGGCTTAATGGGTGATTTTTTGACTGCATGACGATGCTTTTCCTCTTCTCTTAAGCTTCTTTAGCAATCTGGTAGATATTTGCAAACTGAAATATTTTAAAATGAGATCTGGTTTCTACGGTCCCCAACTTCAGAAGCTTGTACCAGTCTTTCCTTTCCATGGCAACAGAGTTCCACAGGAAGTGCTGTGGGAATCCATCCCCCTCCCACCCAGTGCTCAGCGCTCCACGCCCTGGCTCTGCCAGCGTCCACGGGAGATGGTGGGAGTTTGGCCTGTTGCTGGATGGATGCTTCCACCAAGCCAGGGCAAGTGCACGGAGCCGCCCATACACAGTCCTCCTGGGGGCTGACCTAAAGCTCAGGAGCCCAGACTTTGACCAGGGATGATGATCTCATCATTCCTGGAAGGCCGGGAGCTTTGGAATATTCTAGACATGGAGAAGAGCGTCTACTCAAATTTATAAGGACTGTGGGTTGAAGTCAGAGGAAGTTTTGTTTGGTTTTTGTCTCTGCTTGGCTTTCTACCCTCAGGACACTATCAATAATTGAGATTTTTTAAAGTCTACATCTGAAGTCTCCAAGCACGCCAACTCAAGAAGTCCCTGACGGTAGACCAGCGCTGTCTGCCCTACCAACCGACCCAGGAGACAGGCCTCACTGTTTCCTGTGCAATCCTTCAGAGGACTTTTGACAAAGGCTGGGAGGCTGCAGGGGAGTTGGGGGTCTGCAAAGGAAAGCAACACCTTGTCCTCATCAATGTTCCTTTACTTCCCACCGCGCGGTTCTTTGAGTCTCTTTTGAACCAGGTGTCACCTGACTTCAGCGGAAGTCTTTTCTTACGTGGTCACCTCCTGTCTGAGCCAGCATCGTAACGACCTTTTTTGCTGGGAATCAGCCTCCTGCAGAGTTAGGAGGATGGGGCAAAGCAGTCCAAACCACGGGGAGCTGGCACAACCTGGCCCAGCTCGACAGCAGCCGCCCAGCTTCTCCAAAGCCTTGCCAGGAAGACATGGGGTTGTGTAGCCGCATGCTGAATTTCTGTGCAAACCTTTGTCCTTAGTGCAGAGACAGAGCACAAACAGCAAAAAGATGGATGCTAGGAGATGCAAGCAGGAAATGCAGAAGTCACGAGATTCATGGAGGACTTCGGATGCCATCCAGCTCGGAGGATGCCAAATACACACAGCAGATCGCCCCAAATATAACACAAGAGAAACAAGCAAGATGGCCAGGCATGGCTGCGAAAGGACACTGGTCCTCTCCCGTGCGTGCGCGCTCAGAAGGCAATCCTGATGCTCGCCAGGTACCAGCTGCAAGCCCAGAGCCGTTTGGAAGCAGCAACACAGGGAAACTGAGGGACAAAGATGCACACACTCCCACGGTCCCAGCCAGCAGGTGATACGTCAGGATGGTATCCCAGGCACCACCACAGCCTCTGCTGACCTCTGTTGTCTGCCGGTCACTTGGTCTACATACAAACCGGCCTCCTACAAGACAACGTTAGGACCAGAGCAGTACCTAAGACCACAACCACAGCAGCTTCTGCTCAGTGTGCTGCGGACGGCTGACAGCACCAAAGCCACATGCCTCTTAGGGGGACCGCAAGCGGAGCACAGGGTTTGCAAAGAGTGACTCAAACACTACGGTTGAGGACCAAACTCAGTGTCACGCATCTTGGTCCCCTCCGAGTCTGACAGCCCCGCTGGGATATGCGCATGTGTCTTCGGAGTCTCTGAAGAACTTCCCGGCACAGCCTGTCAGCACTGGTAGGAATCCAAACACACAAGCGAGGCCTCCAAGCTAGGAAGGAGCTCAGCCCCCCGGCTTCCGGGGAGAAGCTGCCCTTGACCTTCACAAGTGTGGGCAGACGCTGGCCTGTCCAGCACATGGGTGAGGGGCAGGCAGGGGCACGCATGCAGGTGCTGGGGTGGGCATTCTAGCCGGGGTTGCCAGGCCGGGCATTCTGGTGCTGGCCATCTGGCAGCACGGCTGGGTCGGACTTTCTGACCAAGGTCCCCTTGGGCCTTTCCTTCCAAGTGGGGGCGTAGGAGACCACGAGACCACAGGGGCCAGCTGCAGGCATCCGGCACGGGAGGTCTTCAGCAGGCACTGTCCACAAATGCTCTCCAGAGCTGTGGGCCGACAGCTGTCCTCAGGGTGCCGGGGAGGGGACCCGTCACACGTCTTCATGAGAACGTCCACTGAGCGAGCGAGTGAGCGAGCGGGGGCTCGGAGCAGCTGGCCGTGAGCTCGGTCACACACGCAGGCCACCTCCCCCCAGGGAGGGGGGGTCAGCCCCTGAGGGCCATAGAAGGGCGGAGCGGACACGGGGGGGGGGGCCTCAGGCACCCTCACAGCAGCCACGCTGTGCCCCATCACCCACAAATGCAGACATGAGAAAGCTTCGGTGTGACCTCCAGCATCCCCGTGAGGATGTGATGTTTTTGGGACAGGGCCCGGGGGCTCCGCTTTCCCCTGCATACCCATGTGGACAGGAGCCAGGGACAGACACGGGAGGAGGTCCTGGCTTCCCCACCTGACGCCTACCATAGGGTCAGAGGGCGGAGGCTTCTGTCCTGGGAGGAGCTGCTTTGCGGCCTTGTCAAACCAGCCAAGTTCCGGGCAAGGGCCTCGCGCCAGGTCCCCCTGTGAGCACGACGGTGACTGCAATTCAAGATACAGCCAGACTCGAAAGGGTGCCGTGACAGGAAAGGAGACACAAGTAATGAGGCGCGGGCGAGATCTGGAGGGAGCGCGTGGGCGGGGTGTGTGTCCTGCATGGAAATGGGGTCTGGGCACAGTGTGGCCACGGCTGAGCCGAGGCGGGGCCTCCCTGCCGGCCTGGGAGCCCTGGGGACTGAGTCCTTTGACCTGGGCCTCTGTTGGTCATGGTAGCCTGGGCTTTCCTGGCTCACCTCTCTTGGGCTGATCTAGGGCTGACTCCATTTTGGAGTCTGCAGAGGACTGGTCCAGTGAGGTCCCTCTGGGGTGGCCCTCAGCGGGGGAGGGGCCTGGGTGGCAGGTCCCCCTCCTCCCTGGCACTCTGAGGGGAGCGGCTGTGGGGTGCCAGCCACCCCAGATGCTTCCAGACGGCCCTGTGGTGTTGCCCATCTTTCCATCTCCTGGCAGAGCCTCCCCCGGGGTGGGTGCTGGGAGACCCTGGCTGACCCCAAAGACTCGTTTCCCCTCTGCTCTAGCTCTGGTTTCTGGACAGAAGTGCACACGTGCAGCCCCACAGCCCGTCATGGAGATGCTGCAGACTCACGCACGTACGTGCAGACGAAAACCTGCCCGCTTCTCATTCCCATCACCTACTTTCCCTTCCCTCTATGCCTTTGCCTGCTCGTAGCCAGATGAGAAAGAAGTCCTGAGTAGGGCGGCTGAAGGACGCTGGCTCCCGAGGAGGACGGATCGTAGCCGGCAGGACAGGCGCCACGCAGCAGCGGGCCTGGCCTGCTGTCCTTGGGTTTGGGCTCCGGATACAGAGTGACTGCTCAGTGCCTGCCCGCTTGCTTACGGGCCTCCAGGCTTCTAGCCACTCTAAATGTGACAGGTGGGGTGAGTCCTCTTCTGAGTGATTGGCAGGAGGGCGGGATCTCAGGGCCGGGTGGCTGGGGAGAGGCGGCCAGCTCGGCTCTGTTCCGTGTGAGCCGCCCTAGAGCCCTAGCCGAGACCACAGGACAGGCTCTTCTCTGTACGAATCCCTCCCCGAGCCTGCCAGATTCTGGTTTGGACTGGCACAAAGTCAGTGACCGCCAGAAACTGTGGTTCCAGGGGGAAACACACTACATCCTGGACAAATGGGCCCTAGGGCTTGGGTTTGGCAGGCAGCAAAGCC